TGATGTGGGGGGGGGTACAAGCAGGCCGCTGCGGCGTGATGCCGTCTTTGCTGCCCCCTGTAAAAGAGGCACCGTAACAGTGCTGCCGAGGAGGCCCGTGGGACCCGCAGAGCAAAAGGCAGGAGCTTCAGCATCGCAGCTCTAGCTTGAGGCACTTGCAGCTCGCGGACCCTCTAACTGAGCGCGGGGCAGGGAGAGCTGCTCTCGGCGTTAACGTGCACAGACGGTACCTAAAACTGCCTGTGCGACGCCAGCTTGTAAATACACAGGGGAGCTTTGTCCGAGGTCTCCTGGCCCTTCCCGATGCCGAGATGAGCTTGGCTGAAAGTTTCCCTCACATACTTGCAGCCCTCGGTCGTCACTGGAGGCGCGGGAGCTTGACTATACCGCGGAGACCGGGTTTTCCTTCTGGCTCTTGGTTCTGATCTGTTGAGCCGGTGTGCACGTGTACACCGAAGGCTTGGTGCTCGGGGGACTCCGGTCCCCGCTGGGGTGGTGACTGGGGGGCACCGCCGGTGCCTTCAGTGCTCGGTTTGTTCGAGGACTGATGAGCGTCCTTCCTGGGGGAGGAGAAACGGTGTTAGAAAAACGCCTGCATACGGTGGCGGAGGTGGCTCGGATGGGGGAGGCAGCTCCGCTCGAGCTCGAAGCGGGGGGGTTCCCCCCCCCCCCGGCCCCCTCGAACGCGTCCTTGCAACGTGGGAGGGCCGCACCGTTTTCTCTTGCCAGCTTTCTCCTTTCTCTCACCCCGAGAAACTCGGCTGAGAAGTGGTCAGCGTTTGAGCCGCAGCGGAGGGGTGGTTTGAAGCTAGGATGCTTGCGGTCGTTTCCCTGCCACCAGGGGAGCGGGAGCACGAGCGCTTCGTTTCAGCGGGACTCTGCCTGCCGTGCTTTTCCGGGCTTATAAATGCATTCTTGTTTGTGCTACAGCCATGACAGGATGCCTTATCACAGGAGATACAGACGGGACAGCGACGCCTACAGATTTGAAGACCGAAGCCCGTCTTTTGGAGAGGACTATTACTCGACCCGCTCGCGGAACTGGCGGCGATCCAGAGGCAGAGAGCAGCACCGTCCGAAGAAGCACCAGCATCACTGCCGGAAACGCAGGACCAGGTCTTGTAGCAGTGCCTCCTCGGTGAGTAGCATCCAGAATGAGTTCAGGATTGTTCAGGGTTTTAACTGTTCTTACCTCCTTTCAGCTCCGAACACTCTGGGTGAGTACCTCTAATCCCATTTTTGTGTTTGTTTTCATTACGTGGAACGTATAGTCCAACGCCTGTGTCTTGTTAAGCGGGAAGCGTTTGTAGCTATCGGATTTTACTAGTCCAGCCCCCGTAGCCTTAATACGTGAGGAAACCAAGCTGCGTTCTTTACGGCCGGGGCGGGGATCGGGGAGAGCTTCGAACGGCACACACGTGATAGGCTGACGAGGGGGAGCCTTGGCCGCAGGCCAGCCTGGCTGCTGGGGATCGGTCGCTGTTCGGGTTTACACACGGCCAGGGCTTCGCTTCCGCGTACTGCTGCTGCTTTTTTTTTTGGGGGGGGTTTGGTCTGCAGGCGGCGGCACGGAGCGCTCCTGCGAAGGCACCCGGATTTGACTTTGTGCCAGGATCCCGTACCAGATGGGGTCGGTCAGCCTGGTTCTCCCGAGCTGTTAGCCCCGTGGTTATTAATCCCCGTCCCGCTGTACTTAAGAGAAAGGCTTCCGCCTTCCGAGGAGACACGCGTGTCCTCTCTGCCTGGAAATCCACACGAGTGTCCTTGGATTTCAGCTTCTTTGAAAACTGCCCCGTTTTCCACCCTGAAACGTAGTATTCCTTTCAAGGGTTAACAGGGAATGTTTGGAACTGGGTAGGGAGGCTGGTCCCGGGACCCGGGAATACCCTGGAAGTGTTGTGAGGTATCGGACCAAATGTCTCTGCTTCACTGCTGCTCTCCTGTAAGGAACGTTTCCATCTTTCACCAGTTTGTTGCTTTAAACGTTGTTACAACTAAACGACCGAGTCCTGATCCCCGCAGTCATAGCGGATGCCTGCATGGCTGGGAACTTCTGACGGTCTGTTGCTTTCCTCCTTTTCTTTCTTTCCAGTTGACTTTTAGTTTTAGAAAGAGCCAGGGTTACGAGGAAAACGCTCCAGTGCGGTTTGCGCGTGTGCGTGCGGCGATAACGCTGCGCAGGTTTGGGCTGGCGTGATCTAAATCCTTTGAGGTCTCACAGCTGTCTCAACTGTCCTCTCTACCTTCTCCTCCGTTTCAGCTGACCTTCAGGGGTTCGATTGTGGCTCGCTATTTTGGACTAGCTGGGGGGTGAGGGGCAACAGAAGAGAAGCCCGACGGAAGTTCGGGCGTGGAAATGTGGAGCTTTGTACTCGTTTCTTTGGCTGTAGAGATTGCAACTATCTTTAAGGCTAAACAGAAAAAGACCAGGAATTAGGGCAGCTTGCTTTGTGGACCCCGGGTCCTTTCGGGAAGGTTCGGCTGGCTTTCCAGTAGAAGCTAGCAGTAGCAGGGGTGAATGTGACCTCATACCTTTAGCGGATGCCTGAAGTGGAGCGAAATGCTCCCCGGGGATTAATTTAACTGTCCTGTTCCTAAAGTTCTCCCAGGCTTAAAACTGCATCCTAAGGCCGATGTGCAACACCAGGTCTGTTTGCAGCCAGTGGGGCGTGTGGATTTAGGATCGGCGTGGTAGTCGGTTCTGTCAAGAAGGGAAGGGCTGGTTCGTAGCCGGGGCAGGACGCGGCTCTGGGTAGCTGGCGATCTGTTAACCGAGGTACAAAAGAGCAGGCTACACAGGGGGAGGACTGCTACTCTGGCTTCTACTGGACAGCTTGTCCAAACTGACAGCTCGTATACCCTTCGTCACGTTTGCCAGCGGAGAAAATGACGTTCTTCTGGCAAAGCCCTCCTTCTTCTTGTGCCTCTGGCAGCACCCGGCGGTGCTGCGGAGGAAGCTGCTCCTCTGTGGGGAACGGTGGTGCCGTGCCAAAGCCACCTTAACACTGGAGCCTCCCAGCTGCTGCTTCCCTTCAGAGAAGAGGGGGGCATTTTCTTGCCTAAGAGGCGGCGGCACCAGAGGCCGTAGCTAATGAGAGAGTTTTCTTTACATACCTGTAGCTGTTGATTACTTTTCTGTTTTTGAAGTTAGTTTGTGTCTTGACGTGTCCCTTGCAATATCCCTATCGTTATATATGCTGTGTGCCTTATGAAATGCTGGGATCTGGAAAATCCAACCACCGACGCACCGTCATCTCCACCTTTGAATGACAACACAATCCTGCCACTCGGAACTGCCCGCTGTGCGCGCTTGGTCGTATGCCGTTTCGGGGGGCGGTGTGTACAGAGAAGCCAACAGAGCAGTAAGCGCAGCAGGAGCGTGGAAGATGACAAGGAAGGCCACCTGGTGTGCAGGATCGGCGATTGGCTTCAAGAGCGATGTACAGCCACCTTTCGTAAAACTTTACCTCTCTACTTTCTATCCCCATGTTAGACGAGATCTCTCGTATTGTACTGGAGGGGTCTCTAGTGTTTTATTGCTTATAAATGGACTGACCAGTAAATTGCCTGAGGCAGACAATAGACACTTGAGTTTTAAAGAGTGTAGCAGAGAGACATTTTTTGCTTTGACATTTTATTGCTGTGAAATTGCAGGACCTCAGCTCTCGCCAAGCCCCTGAAGTTCACGTCCACTCCTGTTTTCTCTCCTAGATGAAATTGTCGGCAGCCTTGGCGAAGGCACTTTTGGCAAAGTGGTGGAGTGCGTGGACCATGCCAGGTGGGCATCTCTCCCTGCCGGAGAACTTGTCCGTCCCTTCTGCGTCAAGCCCAGATGCTCACAAGCGTGGCGGGATTAGCGCTGCCGGTTTGGCATGGGCCTGGACTCTGCTGGCCCGAACTGTTGTTGTCACCTTCCACCTGTCACTGCGGTAGAAACTACTTCTTATAGCAAGTGGAAAGTGGAATCGGTCCCCCGAGTTGGCAGACTGATGTGTTAAGGGAAGCAGGGGAGTTTGTTCAGTGGCCGAGGGCTTCGGCACAGGCTGTTCTACTGCCCTACTGCAAAAGCAACGAACTCCGGCTGAGGGATGGGCCGGGCAGCTGGGGGAAGCGACCTCTTAATCTGCCAGGGTGGTACTTTTTCTTTTTTCCTTAACCTCTCCTGTGATTACACTTGACCCCTGTCTCTTCCTGACCTTTTGTCTGGCTCTGAGCCGTGGGGTCAGCTTAGTGTAGGAGCCACCGGGGTCTCCTGCCTCCTCAGAAATCTCGCTGGCATGGTTGGAGAGGGGAGGTGGCTGCTGGAGGCGCAGTGACCTTACGGACTGCTGTGTCAGGAAATGGTGTGCTTGCGGAGCTGTCTGCAGCTCTCTTTGGAGCGTTAGCCAGCAATAGCCTTTCGCTTCAAATTTCCATGTGGTACTTAACTACTGGTCAGGCGGCATAAATCTTTGGCAGACCTTTGAGCTCAGAGCTTTGTTGGGACCCAGCAATGACTAAGCCTCTTAACACATGAAAACACGACGGGAGTAACTGGCACGTGCCCTCTCTCTGCGGACTGAGGACGTGCGTACGTAGGCTCTTTCTCTGACTCCATCCTTTTGTCTCTTCCCTTACAGAGGCAAATCTCAGGTGGCGCTGAAAATCATAAAAAATGTTGGAAAATACCGAGAAGCAGCCAGGCTGGAAATTAACGTCCTGAAAAAAATCAAAGAGAAGGACAAGGAGAACAAATTGTAAGTTCCTGCGAGGCTCCCGGCTCGTCGGTGCCCAGGTCCTTACAGACAAGCGGTCTGCTCGGGTGACGTCCAAAGAAATACAGGGCTGAGGACTGGAATACCTGGAATACTCGTCTCCTGTGTGGGGGAAAACCTGTCTCGTGCCTCTGCGTTTTGGAAGAAGAGAGTCTGTCTCTAGTTCTACTGAACGCTTGTTTACTTAAACTTTTAACAACTGACATGCCAGGTCATAGTGAGAAAAAAATTAGCCAGGCCTTCTTCTCTAGCAGCCACCTGCTGCCTTGTCCCACTTGAATTGGAGATCTCCCTCTAAAGGTGGTTGAGCAAGGCGGGGAGGGGGTGTCTCCGGTGTACACAGAGGGATGACTGTGCTTCCGAGTCGGCTGGCTCAGAGCTTTTGCTCGCCATCCGCTTCTGAAGTAGCCAACGACTGGGAGAATGACTGTTCTGTCGAGTCCCTGGATGATGGTCAATCCTCGTGTCTTTTCTCTCTGCGCAGCTTGTGCGTCCTGATGTCAGACTGGTTCAACTTCCACGGCCACATGTGCATCGCCTTTGAGCTTCTGGGCAAGAACACTTTCGAGTTCCTGAAGGAGAATAACTTCCAGCCATACCCTCTCCCTCAGATCCGGCACATGGCCTACCAGCTCTGCCACGCCTTGAGATGTAAGTCACCCGGGGCCAGCCTTGCTAGGGTCGGGAGGGAGCTGAGGAGGAGCTGGCTTGGCGCTTCGGTGGGCGGAATTGTACGGGTGCTTCAGCGTGTCGTTCTTACATGTATTTTGTTCTCTCTCCTCTTTGCCACCTGTGCAGTTCTCCACGACAACCAGCTGACTCACACTGACCTCAAGCCAGAAAACATCTTGTTTGTCAACTCAGATTTTGACACTCTGTACAACGAGAAAAAGGTGGGTTACGTCCAAAAGGGAAGTGAATAGACCAGGAATAGCCTGCCTTTCCCTCCCTGCAGAAATTGCATCTTCCCTGTTCCGTACATGCCCCGCAGGGCCTTAGAAGTCTGTTTAGTGGGAACAAACTGGAAGCCGGGCCTCTTCTTTCTCCCGTGCCTTCTAAAAGCCTTAAGACTGCTTCAGGGGCTCCAGTCCATGAAACGGCGTGCTCCGTGGCTTTCCTTAACACTGATCTGAGATGTAAAGAGCTCAGAGCTTCACAGTTATAATCCTTTTGATTAGTAGTGCAGACGTGGCAGTTCTGTGGTCAGAGGGCTCCTCTCAAAGCCCAGCTTAATCCTGAACCAGCTATTAGAAGCACTGAGGACTTCTTGTTTGCTTGCAGAGCTGTGAGGAGAAATCCGTTCGGAACACGAGCATTCGTGTGGCAGACTTTGGAAGCGCCACCTTCGATCACGAGCACCACACCACTATCGTGGCTACCCGGCACTACCGTCCACCAGAAGTGATTCTGGGTGAGTACTGCAGGGGTTTGGGGAGTCTCAGACGGGTGGAGGAGAACAGTTGTCCCAGGAATGCTGTAGGATGCTGCCGTCTAGAGGAAAACCAGCTTGAGAAGCACTCCAGTTCTTGGGGACAACCTGTTCCACGCGTTGCTGCAACACCACCCCAGCGGTCCCAAGGTCCCGATTGTATGGAAGGTGTTCGTGGATAGTGCAGGCCCTTGACATGGAGTGCAGAGAGCTGAGGAAAGCCTGTGAGACTCGGGAAGCGCTCAGATTGGCTCCAGGGGAATGCACAGTCAGCGTAAGCTGAAACAGAAGCAGCTGGGGGAGACAGGCTGGGGGATGAAGGGATTGAGAGCAGCC